ACATACCATATATCATAGCATGTCGTGTATATATCGTCGTTTTCTTCTCGTGGAGCTTCTAATTTATGTGTTCTTCTCCGCAGTATGAGATGCACGAAATGTCGACGGATGCCAAATTCATAGGTCGTGAACTTGTCAATGGAGCTGAACTGGATCGCAGCTGCCATCTTCTCCTTGCTCTTCGGCTTCCTAGCTTGTCTTGGGCGGCGGCCTCTGATTTTGTTGAGCTTCTCAGCGAATCCAGAAGTGCAGATTGTCTTTTTTTTGCTGGTCATCACACACTCCCTGAAATGGAAGTGGATGGTACCGGACTTCTGCTTCGTCAGCGATGGAAGTGTCGACGGTGAACACAACTCCGGCGACCTTCGGAGTTGGAACACATCCATTTCACTTGCCATTAATTTATCCTATTACCAGTAACTGTGGATGACCTGGGCAACCAGGCCTTGTTCTAAGTCACTCGTGATTTGCTTGTGAAACCCGACTGTTACTGGTATAGGATACACCTGTTTTTGTTTGTGTTTTCTTTTTCAGATGACATCAGATGACCAGTGATTTGACTTGTTTTCATCAAGAAAGCTTTTTCAATTTCAACCAACTGACTGCTGAACAGACTGCTGAACACGATGAAAAGGGTTAACCAACTTTATGTTCCAGGGAAACTGAGGAGTCAGCCATGACTCCACGTGTGAGGCTTCCTGATTTTCTACTTCTCGTCCATCGCCGCAGCCCTCGCGCCCAACGTGCTTTGGCTCATCGTGCTGCGCGTCGTGCAGGGCATGGGCGAAGCAGGACTGGCCGTGACGGAGATCGTGGTGGCAGATGTCTACCGGGAGACACGGCAAACATGGAGGAGCGGATGCGTGTGGAGGGGGACTGTGGGGAACTGATGGGAATGGACTAGCTTAAGATACATACGACATCTGGGGGAGCATGGGGAATGGTCTTTCCCAACATCAACAAACTCTGGGGCATGGTGTAACAAAGGTGATGGCCCCGAACATCTTTATGACCACAACACATTTTGGCAGGGGGTGTCCCACCCAAAAAGGGGGCGGCCCCTGGATGGCCGGTCCCGATTTGGAAGGCTGAAGGACCTGAAGACTATCCCTACAAGTGGGTTGGAGCTCATGAAATCTGGAGTTTGTCATACAGAAACACATAAAAACACATCAAAACAGTACTGGAGGTCATTTGGACCAGGCTTTACTGGGTCAGACTGGACATTGTAGGGGAACATTTCCCCGTTACTTGGTGGGAGTTGCTGCGCAGACATGTACGGTCCGCTACCGGAGAACCGCATGTTCTTGTTCACCTGGTGGAAAAAGTGGCTGCATGATACCCATGCTGACAAACACCGTCTTTAGATTCTAGATGCTAGTGGTTTTATATATAACATATATATATATATATTTACATACCCCCCCGGAATTTAGATTCTAGATGCTAGTGGTTATATACGTAACATATAATTACAACCCCCCCCGGAATTTAGATTCTAGATGCTAGTGGTTATAGACGTAATATATATATATATAATTACATACCCCCCGGAATTTAGATTCTAAATGCTAGTGGTTTTAGTATGCGAATATACAATAATCATAACCCCCCCAGACCATCTTTGAATGATCCGGCCATCCGTGACCAGACTTTAGAGCCAACCATTTCCTCCAAAAGTCCGACCATTCTGAAAGCGCAAGCATTTTTGTATTCTTACACACATTATTCTTCCAAAAGTGCGTTTTGTGGAAGTCTTGAATAGTATTACATCCCATGCTGCAAGGTCCACTCAGGAGCCTGCTAGTGGTCCGGGTATTTTTGTTCCTTTTGCTTATCAAAGCCGGCGTCATGGCATTCCATGCGTCTGGATATGTCACCGTCTCCGACGAGAAGGGAACACTAGTCCTCAATTTGAAGGACCCAGTGACTTACTTGTACCTACTCCTGGACTCCTGGACGTAGGGATCGCGAGAAATGACTGTGCATCCACTCGGCAACCATTGGGTAGAACAACTTTGGGAGCTTCAATTCACCATATTCAGCGGTCTGCCAAGTTGAAGCCCACTGGCTTCACGGGATCATGACCCATCTGCATTCAACCGCCAAGGCTTGGCTTGATGGAGATAGGACCAGCTCAGCCTGTGGTGGGAATTGGGTGGGGCTGGTGTCAATGGTTGGCGACCAGGTTGACACAAGCCACAAGAACCACGCCCCACCAATTCACCTTCGGACAGGGAGCTGTGCTACTGTACGCTCATTGCCAGTGGCCTATCCAAAAAGAGGTGACAGAAGATGGCCAAACTTGAAGGCAAGAGCAGGCGGCACGGGCACCAAGCTCTGGGCTTGCGAGCTCCTTGCCTGATCGCGTGGGAAGCTTCTTACGGCTGCGTGCAATCGTCATTGGCTTCGGAGGCTACTTGAACGGCCGGGCGAGTCTATGGCGACCAGCTGCACCGGAAGTGCAAACGCACAGGAACGTACAGGCCTGGAAAAACAGGCCTTAGAATGGGAAGGCCGCACGGCCGCAGGCAGCAGGACTGCGAGGACACGAGCAGGCCAGGCGTTTACTCTGGCAATTTCGGTGGATGTTGTGGCCCATGACCCTCAAGAGTGGCTATCGCAACAACTGTGAACCTGTGCAAACCAACGCTGCGACGAAGGGGCGACGCTGTCAGGCAGCTTGCGATCCATCTACTACCGCGATGGTGAAGATGCCCTCTCTGCACGGGCCCTTATAAGGTGTCGCGGTGTCGCGTGGTGTGGATGTGGCACGAAGGGCTTCGCGCGTTGAGTGGCCAGCTGGCGCTCGAGCCCACCAGGTGATGCGGGTGCTGACTCAAGCTAGCGTTATGGGATCTTCTTGGATGTGGTGCCTCTCACGAGCACCTCACTGGCAGCTCTGTTGGCTTTCAAAGCCGAGGGGTGCTTCTGTGGCTTTGTTCTATGTGTTGTTCTGTGGTCTGCTTGTCAATGTCCTTATTCTGTGTGTTGCTCTGTCATCTGCCTCTGTGGCTTTGTTAGATGTGTTGCTCTGCGGGCTACTTGTGTGGCTTTGTTCTGTGTGGTGCTCTGTAGTCTACTTGTGTGGCTTTGTTCTGTGTGGTGCTCTCTGGTCTGCTTCTGTGGCTTTGTTCTGTGTGTTGCTCTGTGGTCTACTTGTGTGGCTTTGTTTTGTGTCTTGTTCTGTGGTCTGCTTGTTTGGCTTTGTTCTGCGTCTTGCTCTGTGGTCTGCTTGTCTTCTTCTGTGTGGTGCTCAGTGGTCTGCTTCTGTGGCTTTGTTCTGTGCAGTGCTCTGTGGTCTGTCCGCAACAAGCACGATTACACCGCCAGCGCCGCCAGCACGACTACACCGCAAAGAGTTTGGAGCCTGCCTGCAAGTTAGCGTGACAGCATGACCCGATTCCTGCATAATGGTGTAATAACGTGAGCTCCACAGCCCTTCCATCCAGGTAGTATCCTGGTGTGGCTTTGTTCTGCGTGGTTCTGTGCTAATTATGTGCACTGCTGACTTTGTTCTGGTTTCGTGAGTGGAGTACGCGCCTACAGTTATGTTTTTTCGACTTGCCATGGTGCTCCATCAAGAAGTTTCAACATGGTGTTGGTTATACAAGACCTCTCTATCCAGAATGGACCCCAAATTTGCAAACAATTTGAGAAAAACATACTCCTTTCTTTCCTTCTCCTCGCTGCCCCAGTGCGGCTTCACCGAATTCCTCGGTGCGGTGGCTTCACCAAGGAAAATGCGGATGAGAGGGCGTTGGCCTTCGCGAGGATCGGCATGATGTTGGGGCTTGGCAGTGTGGGCGCGCCATTGGTAGGTGGGCTCTTGGCTTCTTGATGTTCTGTGATGACGAAGCACGTATTTTTTTAATAGTGGAATGAGAGTAGATGGCACAGACCTCAAGAGGTGGTTTATATGGACCCTCATCTAAAGGACATCATGAGGTCTGTGCCATCGAGCCTTTGAAACCAAGGGACCATATTCCACTTCCATGTTAGTGAGTCAGCGTGCAACCTGAATTTTCCAGAAGTAGACTTAGTCGAGCCAGTCTCGGAACGTTTTCCTTTCGACATGTCATGGCTTGCGAAGACCAAAAAACATAATGCAGAACAACCATTGGTTGACACAGCGGGTGGTTTCCAATTTCATTTATGTTGGAGGTGACAACAGTTTAGGCTTTTCGGATTCTGCATTTTTCAGTTCGGTCACAACTAGATGGGAACGTGAGTCCCTGATTGAGGATGTTTCACCCCAAAACAGCTAGTTAAGAGGAGGTGTTGAGAGTCTGGTTTAGACATGTCTTTTTCGCCTGTAGGACTGGACTCCCCGGAACACCCATCGCACATGACTCGGACGGATGAACATGCTCCCAGCGAAGAACTCGGAGCCTCTTCGGCCTGTGTGAGGCTTATGTGGCAGGCTGGCGCGATATTTTCCTCTACTTGGCTCTTTGTGTCATGGTGGTGGGCTGCGGCATCAAGCTCTACTTGCCTGAAACCAAAGAGATTGGATCTGTGAAGGTGGACATGAAACCCAAACCAAGCCCAGAAAGTATGTACAGCTTGGCCTCCAGTACCAGTGCAGCCTTCCTGGAAGATGCACGGCCTTTTGCATATCTATTGATGAATATTGGGGTCGAAACTTGGATGAGCAGGACATCTTTCCAATCAGATTCCCCATGCAGGCACAACTCTCAAACTTATCAGTACAAGTTTACCAGTCTCCTTTTGACCAGGGTGACCAGTGTGTCTAAGCAAGAGAGACAAGATCCTATGAGGTGAGTCTTCATGTTGCACGTGAATCCTGGTCATTGGTGTCACTTGATGATGCGTGTGTGACTTCCGCCAAAGCTGGTGGAAGATTTTACTCTACCCCTCTACTCAGGAATCGACCTGCTTTTCATTTTTGACCAACTTGGCTTGGATCCTTCAACTGGAAAAAACCCAGTGGCTACGGCGTTGCCCCTCTGAACTCCAATGTGCTTTGCTGCACCATCATGCCCGCCTACTTGGTGGCCTCCTTCGCTTCGCTGAGAGCTGGCAGCAATGCTTCGGTTTGCCTGAGGATTGGTATCTCGCTCAGCCTCTTGGTGGGCATCTGCTGGATGGTCTTCGCGCATGTCATCCAGGACAGCTTCCGAGACAGCATGGAGAGACTGATGGACCATGTGAAAAAGGCCCTTCAGTGGGGACACAACTTGTCAGAAATGGACAGAGACAAGCATGGTGGTGTCAGCGCAGTCCTCTCTTTTTGTAACTAGATAAGCGGTATGCAACATGCATCGCCTGAATCCTGCATGACATGGCAGACATGGCATGCAGCAATTTTTTGGCTATTTCAAGGTTTGCAGAAGGTTGCACATCCAGACAGCGGATCATATGAACACCAAAACGACCTAAGGTGACAAGGTTCTTGATATCATTCTAGAAGAATTACACCAGAATTTTGCTGGTGCCCTTGATGCTGGGTCGAATCCTGGTACTAGAGGTACCAACCAATCAGACCTTTCTGGTTTCCAACTCAAGCTGGACCAATCTACCTTTCTTCCAATCTCGTTGAATCGCTGAATCCAATTCGGGGAATTTCACAAAGAGTTCGAGGCTCGAGTTCGAGGGCTTTTGGCCCTCCCACCACACTTGACCCGTTCAACACTCCATGGGACTGGCATATTTACATACTAATCCCTGAAACCACCCCAACTGATCGGTCAATTTGCCGTACATGGAGTATCTGGGTATTGCGGATGATCATTCTGTTTTCAGGACATTTAGGACGTGACCCAAGGCTGACCTGTGAGGACTCGAGTTTCAGGAATGTTCGACTCTGGACGAATGGGAAGATCTTACAGAACCAAGCTCGGTTTGTAGTATTTGATCTGGATCCGGAACCTGGAATCTGGAGGAATTGATATAGTTAATGGACACCCCTTAACCTCTAAGAGGCTATCAATAGACACCCCGGTATGGGTGTCCTGGTATAGATCTGGAATCTGGATCAAGATCCACCGAGGTTTGTTGCTCTTCATGCTATCAGGGATTCTGCTTTTTGCTGGCTTCGGTCTCTCCAATGGCGCTCGGCGGGCTTATTACCTCGAGCCCTTGCCGAGTATCGAGGCGAGAGGAGGTGGCAGCTTGGGGATCTTCAGGATCTTCCAACTGTGCTAGGAGCCCTAGCTGCAGCTAGGAGCAGTTCTAGTCCCCTTCGAGGTGTTAAACTGTTAGGTTAGTCAGGTTTCATCCTTACTGGGCTGGTATTGAAGATGAAAAGGCAGATGTTTTGCACAGTTGGAAGATCCGGGTATGTGCAATAGGGATCTGTTGGATCAGGTCTGTATTTTAATAGGGAGACCCCCCCAAATCCCCCTGGCTGGGTAGACTGGTTTCTTTCCCGAACCAGGTGGTCGTTGCCTGGGAGGTGTCAAAAGACACACCCACAATTAGGATCATGTGCCTAAGAACCCAGACATGGTGGGTCAAAATCCGGTCCCGGACCCCAACCAACGCCATGTCCCTTGAAGTGATTGGAGCGTTCAAGTTGGGTGATTGGAAACACTCAAAGATCACATTAAGCAAGCATGGAGGGTCCAGTCGTACTTCTGAGAAGGTATATATTTGGATCCGTCCTTGTTGTGCTTGGGAACCCATTGAATCCCTTCCCCAACCAGTCCATGCAACTGGAATATTTACCTACAGAAAGACCCGATAGATTCTCTCAAAACCACCCTCTTCTCTACAAGTTTCTAACTTTTGGAGATTTGATTCGTCTCGAGAAATTGCACTTTTTAACACACTCAACTTTTGGATGTTCTCTTGTTTCATTGGTGTTGTTACGGGTGTATTATCTTTTTTATAATATGGTTTTCTTTGTGGTTCGTTTTCGTGATAGGAGAAGTGTTCAATCGGTGAAAGAGGGTGGACATGCTCATATATGTTCAATCGCTGTGAAACAAACCTGTCTACTACCCTAGGGATCCAAGTACCTTCTCAGAAGGTACTTGGACCCTCCAAACATAGATGACAGTGTCTCCAAGTACCTTCTGAGAAGGTACTTGGATCCCTAGGGTATTTGCAAGTTTGCTATGGACCTACTTCTGGGACTCAGTCACGGACATTGGTTTTGGGTCTCAGTCATGGACGTTGCTGTGTGGGGCCTCTCTTTCTGTATGGTCTGCGTGAAAATCCGCGTGTGAGGTGGCACCTCTTCGAAGCATTTGTTTCAACGGAAAGCAACGGATGTGGCTGTAGGTCATGGCACGAGATGACCCGTGTTTTTCCCACCAGGGTGAAACGGGCTCCGGTTATTTTCGACCCACAGCCATGCTGCAATCTCGCACAAGGTTCAAGACTCTTCACATGGACTACAACGTTTCCTAACTCGGATCTTTCTCCCGAACTTCCTATGATATCCCAGCTGTTGGGATGCATGTGAACTGTTTATATCGTGGAGTTTCTTGCAGCTTCTGAATTGACCACGGGCTCCTAGAACCGATCAAAGGGAGCGTATTGGGTCTCAGGTCCACAGCTGTTAAAGACCCCTTCCGGGCTCTAGAGGTGGAACACCCTGTTAGGCAGCATGACGGTGACCTGCTTCTTTATAGAGTGGGCATGGTTCAGCCTATCACATTTCTACCTTTGGACCTGGGTTGCACGTGCAAGCGTGAGATTAATTGATATAATTTGATCAATGATACAATCTTACACATACTGCATATGGATGTGTCTTGAACTAGGAAGACCCCCAGGCCGCCTGGCGTTTTTTTTTTTCGGTTTCTGGGAACCCTTTTCTACACACCCATCGATGCTTCTCTCTTCCAGGACCCCCTGCTCAGCCCGTGCAGGCTCACCCCCGTGCAGGCTCACCCGCCGATGTTCGGAATTCGTTCGGATTTCGCCTACCAGGCTGGCGTTGGCGTGGCGACCTGGAAAGCACTTGGTGCGGGGGGGGTGCGACAAGAAACCACCTGGTGTGGGCCCACCATAGGAGGTCTTGCTATATAGCAACCCTGTAGGATGGCGGAGGTTGGTTTTGTGGAAAGTGACTAGATTGAAGTGTTTTGTCGTGTTACGCCTTTTGTAGTCCATGAAACAAATTGAACAGTGTCGTTGGTAGCTTGTACAATCCCACCATTTTTGAGGAGAGCTGGCGAATCTGCATAATCATGTGTTCAAGTGTGGACGCCTTGTGGGAAACTCAGGGCTGTGTCTCATTTCTTCCCTGTAAAGCCCACGAACCATAGGTCGACCTTTTTGGCTTTAGATCACAACTACCCACTGGTGGCTAGGGCGAAACAAGCATCCTGATTCCTGGAAGCTTTAGCAGGGCGCCTGACGGCATCCTCAAGCGCCTGGTGGTGGCGCGTGACGCATGGGGGGGAGACCCATCGCCAGTCCAAAGCCGGAGTGAAGCGGGTGTCACATGGATGGATGGGAACTGAGGCAAGCTATTTTTTTGTTTTTACATGAACTAAATTGATGTTTTATAGGTTTTTATACGGTTTCAGAGGTTCGATGGCAGCACCCCAAGATGTTTGGATGGGGATCCTTTCTCAGCCACCGATGTTTCGCGTTTTAGCTGCGCTTTTTCCGCTTTTGAGAAGAGATTGTCGTTGGCGTCCCTTCGTCTGACCCGCGCAGGGCGGTTCTCTTTTTCTGGCTGAGGCGAGTATACCGTTGCCCATGTTCTCTCAGGCGAAACGTTCAATCAAACCTGTTGCAGAGGCCAGGTTCTGTCAGGTTTTTGTATGTAATGTATTCGCCCCAGGCCCGAGGTTTCAGACTCCCATCACTTTCTCCTTCGAGGCCAAATTCCTCGAGCCCTGCGTGTCTGCGGTGATCACCGCCTTCAGTGGGAAGATGTTGGTAGATGATGGCGTCATCTGCTGGTTAATCTTCCAGGGTTTTTGGATTGTGCCTGGGATGACATGGTCTTGCGAAAAAAAAGAAAGAATATGCCAGATGCAGGCCATTCTTTTCTTTTCCCGATTCCTGGGTGATTTTTCCCTTTTTCTGGGGAAGATCCAGACGGTGATTCTTGTTCATTTCTCTTTTCCTGGTTAAAAGGCTACTGGCAAGACCAACAGCTGAAGAAGTGCAAAAAACGGTCTTTTCCTCACCAGTACCTGTTGATGGAAGAGCTAGTCGTGCTTCTTCTCCGTTTTTTTCACACACCCAGATCCCACGTTGAATCGAACCATTGTACTGCACCTTTCTTCTGCAGAACACATCCCACTCACAAAAGACACCACTGACACCCCCTGGAACATCATGAGCCTGGCCGTGGATGCCATGGCCGCAAGATGACCACCACATCCGAAGATGGCGGTGCCATGCACGTCGCCGCGTGAAAACTTCGCGTATCTTCCTGAGAGCAAGATATCTCTCTCATCAAAACGAACGATAAAACACAACACCCTAGAACATCTATAAGACCCTACAGAAGATCTCATCTTCATGAGAATGATATGCAAGATCAAACATGTTTCGTGTTGATCTCATCTTCAGTTCGAGAACACCACGCACCGAATCCGTGGTGACTTCCAGGTGCTGTGCGACTTCTTTTGGTGGATCATGAGGGCCTGGAGCTTTTTCCGCTGAGGGCGGTGCTAGCCGTTTCCGCCGTTTCCCAGTGCCGCCTCATCCTGGTGGCGGCATCTTTGGCCTTGATTGGGCTATCTTCTTGATTGGAACGTGCTCTTGATTTTGCCATTAATCTAGATGGAGAATACTTGACTGGCAGCCAAGTGGTAGATATTTGCAGATGAGTTTTTTCCACCCCAGCCATGCAGTCAAGATCTGCTAAAGCAATGGGGTGAGTATCATTTTGTCTAGGTGATCTAAACGGATCCTTAAATCGACTCCTTCAAGATTTTTGATGAATGAGAGAGAACTCTTTGTGATTCAGTTGACTTTGCATGAGATTTGATCGCACATTCTGATTTTGTTTATCCTGGCTATAGATCTCTGGATCATGCAAGCGAGGAGCCACGAGAAGCCATGAAGCAAGGGTGTGAAAAGGATCTTTGTTGTAAGCTTTGCTGCGCAAGCTTGTGATGCACTTCCCAGACGCGACCCTGGACCCGAATCCTCTGAGGGGTCGGACCCGAATCCTTTGGAGGGGTCAGGGGTCTCAGACAACTGTCCAAAAAACTCTTGCATGTGGTCCATGAGTTCATTGGGCATTGGTTCCATAATGTTCAAAAAAGAAGAGTTTGCCGATCGACTCGATTGCCCAATAACTACTACCCAAATGCCCTTGCTTGGTAGTGAAGGGTCTCTGGATAACAAGCCATGGGTCTCGCAAGTCACTCTTGAGTGCCTTGGCGCACCGAGTCAATAAAGCTCCCCCCCAAAACAAATGGTAAAAGGATTGGGGGGTTATTTGTTCAACCCAGACGCTCCAAATAGCCCTTGGTCCTAGTTCATCTACTGGTGGTGCATTGCTGCATTCACCATTTGAAGGATCATTTGGAAGCAACACAAGCTGAGAGTGAAACACTATGAAGACCACTCTTTTCACAGCGGATCCAACACCTAGACGATCAATCAGAGCGACCAGAACCGCTACCGTGGCCAGGGCTCGTTGGGCTCGTTGGGATGCGCGGCAAAGATGTAGAGCCCTCCACTCGCGACATCGATGTGTCCGCGAGTCGAGTCGGGATGCTCGGTCCTCCAGTGCTGGCAGATTGACCGCTGATGGCCTCAGCTTGCTGCTTCACTAGACCGGTTGTGCCTCCTTTTTAAGGTCACCAATTCAGTTTCAAACGTTGACTCTTGTGTCAGGAGTTTCTGGTAGTAGACCTTTCTTCCTCTTCTTTTTTTCCTTGTTTCTACTAGCGGCTTGGCCTCCAAGCTACTAACGATGGCCTCAAGGCTTCGGAGATGAGCAGCAATTGGGCCATACGGTCATGGCCTGGCCACCATGAATCGTCTGGGTTATGTGGGTCTGTATTAGAATAGGGAGGCCTTTCAGGCAATGACCCCCTGCAAGAAGAAAAATAGACCACAACCCATTGGTATGTTGTACGTATTCCTGTCCCAATTCCTCGGAGCCAGGAGCCGCAAATTCAAGATCCAGTCTTGAACCCGTTGTGAGGGACCTCCTGTTTCAGCTTACCGGCTTCAGGCTCCATGGGTGCGCGCGAGCCTTGTGTCGACACTACTCCTGCTGCTCCTGGCCGGGGCCGTGCTAGCTAGAGTTCCTGGACGGCATTGGGTCATTTTGGGCGACTCCTGGCGCAGCCTTGTGTGGAGATTATGAGGGCTTCACTGAGAAAAAATCGGGCCTAGCAAAAAGCTCCACGAAACCATCCAAAACCGTGTTTTCTCCCGCAACAAAGGCAGGGTTTGGGGTATGTGAAAACCTTGAACAACTCATGGGACACGGTTTCTTCCGGCCGCTCGTAGAACCCTCGTGGTGCTGGTTGACCGCACGAACCGAACCGTGGTTCTGAACCGGTCCCCGATCAAGGGGACCGGACAAAGGAAGGTTCTGAAGAACTGGCGAATAGAACTTGGAGGCCTAAGTTTATTTGGGGTGTTCATTTGATGAATGAACTGGCCTAAGCTTTTTGGGGTGTTCATTTGATGAAGAACTGGTGGAAGGTCTTATATAGTAGGTCGATCAATTGTGGTGGAAGAATTGATGTGGCTGAATGACCAAGCTCACTTCCAGCAATGCCATGGTATGCCCAGCAAGAAATCACCACAGTCCCAGTGTTTAAAGAGAGGTTTCAGACTCTAAGTGCTGGATTCGGGTCACCCCGAACCTCCACAACCAGTCTTGGACCTAGCAAATGGTCTTCACTTGGCTTCAGTCAAAGGCCGTCTTCGGCCTTTCCCGGTCTTCTGGAACGCCAACTCCGAAAAAACTCGAGGCGAGGCTTTGGCCGAAGGCGGAAGTGGTGGAGCGACGCTTGCAAGAGGTGCAGAATGATTGTGGTACCTTCGACTGGGACCAGGCGGAGCGCGGCGCAGCGCGCTGTTCGGCGCCGCTCCTCCGCCGGTGTTCGGGCCGTTCAGGGATGCCCATCGAGGGCGGTCTCCACCGGGTTTGGTTTGACAACCGCGCTGCTCTTTGGAGACCACGGGTTTAGAAGCTGCAGAGCGTAACTTGAGGGGCTGGGGGACACTTGAGGGTACACTCTATTGGTTGAGGGATGGGCATCTGAATCTCAAAGAATCACATGGGGTATGCAGTGGGTAGGTCTTTACATGAGAAGTATGGAGTGAGCGAATCAGCTGACTATTCAATGCCGTGCCAAACAAACCATTCCATTGATTCTGTCGGGTTTGGCACCCATTTCCATGGGTTCTGAAACTAGAAACTGTCGTATGTGAATCATTCTCGTTCGTCACCAGCTGTCACCTTCCTTCAACCACCTTCAACCCCATCTTCCCACCTTCCTTCATATCCCACCACTGACCGTTTGCTTCCCTTCTGCTTCCCATTCTGCGTCCGGGATTCGGCCACCCACCCAGGAGGAATGGTCCATCCGGGTGGTCCGCTGCCGCCCGGCGCGGAAGCCCGCCGTCGGGGGCTCCGAGCTGAGAGAGACCGGGGGGGCGGCCGGGGCCGTGCTTTGGGTTCGGCCGGAGGCGAGGCCGAGCAGCGCTTTTGGAGGCTGAGAGAAGTGGTGAACAAGCAGATTCTGCCAAGGAAACAGCCAAATGTTCTGCACATGTGTGTGAAGACCATTCCAAGTTGTAAGTAGTGCAGCATACTGCATCCGACCTTAGTTGCTCTGACTTTTGTTCTCGGGAATGAAGTGAAAAGAGTGGCATTGGTTCTTTGCGAATTAGGGACATGAAGGTCCAGTGTGAAAACCCGTCCCCCCCTCTGCTCAGTCAGTTGCCCATGCTTAATCAGTTGTCCTATCTCACCAACTCGTCAGGAAACTCCTGGCAGAGGGAGTTTCCTGCACCTTGAACCCCCCCAAACACTGGTGAACTCAGCAAACTTGAGCCTTCCAAGACCACACAAAGAAGGGTTGACCTGGTTTGTAATCTAACTTCAACTATACAACTTCCAGTAAAGCAATGGTTCTTTGGTAAAAAACACCATGTAAAAACCTTTCACAGCCTTAAACATCATTTGAACATGTGCTTCGAGGCATCCGACACCACGACCGCTCCGATCGCATCCGGGGGATCTGGGGATGAGTGTAGGACATATAGAAGGACATAGAAGGAACACATGTCTGTTGAGAAGGTCCATGTTTCAATGACTAGTCTAGTACCCAGACCATCTTTGCACCCAACCTCTTCGCAGGGGTCGGATCCCCAACATGTTCGAGGTCCTTTACTCGAAGCCTTCAGCCTTTCCATAGCTTCGGGGGGATTTGGGGGATGGCTCATGAAGAAAACCGACCGCCACCATGAAGAAAACAGACCTCCACCCTGGAGCAAGCCGCGAGCCGAAAACGCTGAAATCAGACCTATGGCCCCATCTTCAGCTTGGAGAACGCGGGGCAGCCTGAAGTGCTCCGAGTGATGTCCAGACTTGTGTGTTTGGCGAATACAAGAACTGCAATGCCAAGAAGCAACATGTTTTTATTGAGTGGTCTGAAATCAGAAAAAAAGTATATCAATTCAATTCCTCGAACAACTTCTTGGGCAGAAATATGTTCCTATTTGGGGTAAAGGTGACTTTGTCCGTGCTTCGGCAGAAGTTTCTGCCTAAATGAAGTTAGGCAGATATTATTTGATATTATTGCCTAACGAGGGTCTAAGTATTGTCTAGGTCTATTGTGTCGGGAGGCGCTTGGATAGTTGCTTGATGTTGATGGGCTTTTGGGCCAACGCCTTTGACTTGATGGAGCCAAGATGATAGGATGTATAGGATGTAAACGGAACCGAATCGCGTGAATGACCTTGCCTACCAAGGATGCAGACAGGAGGGTTCCTGCAAGAGAAAGCGACTTGTTTTTGGGGCTCCATGAAGCCACTGGGCTCGGCTCCAGCGACGCCTCAGGTGTGCATGAAGCCTTGTGGCAAGCTTCCCATGTCCCAGTTGGTGGGGACCAATTCGCAGGTGCTGGCCTATGGGGGGGGCGTTGGGACCCGTTGGGACCTAGGGGCGTTGGGACCTGTTTGAGGGAATCGCCATGGCACTGCACTGGGATCGTCATCATTCTTTAGGTGGCCCTTTGGGCCAACTTCAAGGTGTTTGCCCAGTCGACAGCGCTGCTCAAGCGCTGCTCGCAGTCGACAGCTAGATCTTCTTGAATCGGAGAAACCACACTCGAGCGAGCCACTGGGAAAGCTGTGTCGACTCGCCTTCAAGCCCCTTCTGGACAGTATAGCTTTCCAGGACCATCCAAAAGGTGAGCAATGGACCCTTCACTACTAGTGGATCTCCAGCCAGGACACCGGTAGGTTCGCCTCATGCTTACTAAGGGTTTCAAGCATCACCACAGTGTCGCCCAGCAGAAGTTCGATTTGAGCACGTGAAATTTGGCTAATCTGGCGTGGATCCGATTGGAGTGGTTGAACCCCACAAAGTGGTCTGAGAATGAAAAGGGACTTAGTTTTTGTTGTGGTGAGTGTTCCCAATGCATGTCGTATTTCTTTTGCTTTGTGAATTGCTGCGTATCATTGAATATCACTACACAAAATATTACAAGAAAACATGAACCCTTGCAGTGGCATGCTCTGCAAATTCCTCCACAACCAAAACAGAGACCAGAGCACTGTGGCCCAGCTGGTCGCTTCCACGCCAGGTGACCAGCATCTCCTTCTTGTCGTTGACCGCCTCGGCGGAAGTGGTCACCCTGGTGGAGAAGGGTGGCCCGGTCTACCAGCTGAACGTGTCTTGGCGGAAAAGAGAGATCGAAAAACGAGTGACCTATACTGCCCAGACACTTCATGGGACTGGAAGATCTAGAATGCCCAGACACGACTAATGGGACTGGTGGTTGAAACGGGGTCAATGTGTGTAAATATGTCAGTCCCATGGAGTGATTGGAATAGGAAGGATGAAGGAGACGTGATGATTCATGTGGCACATTTGGAATTAATTCCTTTTGCTTCAGGGATGATTCATGTGGCGAATTGGCCCGCGAAGAAAGCATGTTCCAAACAGGTCCAACACCGTGGCCATGCTGGGTCAGAACCTTCAGTGTGGAGGAAAGAACATGCTAGAAAGCCAGCCGATAGGCCAAGCTGAAGTTAGTTTCTTTGAACGGAGTGGTTTTCAGATGCCATTCCTTTGTGACTTGCTGATGCAGATGATGCAAGCTTTAATGTTCGTAATTATGTGCATCAGCCAGGTTTTTCTGGATGATGGCTTCCAGTACTACAGTACTGAGTCAGTACTGCTCTTAGATGGAAGCATGCGGGTCGACATCTGACGATCTTTAAACTAGAATCTTTCTTGGTCAGTTCTGAACTGACAGGGGTGAACTTGAAAATTGTATCCCTCTCATTAGTATCCCACATGAGATGAGGTCAGTTCGGACCAAAGGTCGAGTTGTGGAAGTCGGGCCTCCCCCGGCCTCAGCGGCGTCCGTCCGTCCACGTCTCAGGTGGTCTCTGAGGGCAATGACGAGGCCCGATGGATGGTGACACTCCCGCCCGCCCGGGTGCTCGGTCGAGACGATGACCGGATCGGCCGGCAGCGGCCGGTGGCGGCATGGAGCGCGTCTTCCAAGAGGACCTGAAAAAAGGAAGGGTACCATGGGGTACCTATTGGAGAGCCCACAAAAAAGGGTTCTGATGATGTCTAGGTTTGGTTTGGAGTTTGGACTGAGTTGAATTTATAGTTTCTACTTAAATTTGAGACACCAAACAACCGATTGAAAAGGACTAGCGGAAGGTTGAACTGTCGCGAGCATGTTGTTTTCTGTCAGTTTGGGGACCACTGTAGATAGCACTTATCCTAACAGCTACACTCTACGTTCTAGGCACTCCAAACTTAAGACCATTGCCGACTCAGGGCGCGCTCCAGGAGATTCAGTACCTAAAGGAGCTAGACACTTGCCAAGAAGAGATGCTTGTGAGACTCCCAATTGCTGGCCTTCTTCCAAGATACTCATCCACTTGGAGGGATCATTCCATGCATCAGTGGGAGCCCTATACCTGGATCTTCCAACTTTGCATTTTGTTTGCCTTTTGGCTGGTATTTAAAGAATTTTATAGATGAACATGGCAACAATTTTGCACAGTTGGAAGATCCAGGTACATCTCTGATGAATGACATCACTTGTGTGACAAGAGGGCATTTTGATGACCCTTCCTCATGGATAGTTTGTGGCAATGCACCGACAAAAAGCATCCAAGAAGCAACCAACTAAGCTCCAAACAGGCTAAGAACTTCCAACCCACTCCCTACACCGCCACTTCCAGAGCCGCTTGGCGGTGACAGAGCCACTTCTGCACCCGGGCCATAGCCTGTTTTTCAAGGTCCGGAGCTTCCGCGGAAACAGTTGCCTCGACTTTACGCAGTTCTGCCAGGGGCACCCAGTTCATGGGCGGAATACGACGCGCCGACGCGCACGAGAGCGACAAGGGGACACGTCGCGAGGTGTTTGACTTTTTTTTTAATTTTATGATTTGAAATAGGAGATCTACTCTCTCTTTGGAACCAACATGGAAGTGGATGGCATGGTCCCTTGGAAGACCATTTTCCTCTATTCCGGACAGAAACAAGTGGCCTTTGAGAACGTGAGTCAAAGATCTATCCTTTCTTGAGGTTTAAGCAGAGGCTCCAGAGGTCCAGATCCTGAAAACAGATGAACCCATCTATACATTTCCGTTGGATCCTCAGTAATTCAATGATATAGACCGTATTCATTTCCGTTGAAAACACATGTTGAAATCCTCAGTCATTCAATGTATATAGATCGTATATGGAGTTCTTCGGTTTTCAGGTCGTTGATCACCGGACCAGGAATCCTAGGGAGATAGACCCACCAAATCCATTCTTCCATCCCATTCTTCCAGCTGCCCTGAATGCAAGCCGCCACGCTTCTGAATCTCCACTTCCTTTCTCCTCCGCTGATCCTCCGCTTCCTTTCGGCAGGCGAGGTGGCCTCGGTGATGCCGCTCATGACCAGTTTCGTGGTGGTCGGGTCACCCGGACGACCGGATTGGCCCGGCGAACGATGGATGGGTCCAGCTGGGATGGGTCGTTTTTCGTCGGCGGCGGGGGGGCAATGCCGGGGGGGGGGCGGGGTGATTCTTTTTTCCTCCAGGTTGGGTGTGTTTTTTTCCTGGCATGGGGAAGAGGTCTTTTGCTTTTGCAATCTTTTCACAGTTTTCTTAATTAAGCAAATCCAAGTTGGGTGGTTCGGACTCAGAACCCGCGAGATTTTCAGACACAAAACGCAGGGTATCTGGAAGTTTCTGCTCGCAGAGACATCGGTATTCACGTCCTTTCTCCTGATGTTGCCTGGTCTTCTCTCTTGGTCGTTCTCTCCGAACGGAGTGGCAGTGGCGGTGCAAAAGGTAGCAGCAACAGCAGTAGCAGTAGTAGTAGAAGTACGTAGTAGTCGTAGTGGTGGTGGTGGTATTGGTAGTGGTCGTGGTAGTGGTGGTAGGTAGTCGTTCTAGTTACTAGTTAAGCACGGATCTTAAAGGGCAACAATAGCAGTTGAATAGAACATGCAAAGATATTTAACAACACACTGGGTGAAAAAGCTTATTGTTATTCCGTCCCATTAAACTAACCAGGGTGTGTGAATAACTTTGGTGAAACTTATTTTGTATTCCATCCCATTATACTAATTTATACATGCGACATTATGTATTTAGCTGCATATTGGGTGAATTTCAGGGGTTCAAAAGAGAGTCTGGGATAGAGACGTTGTACCTAATTGTCCTTAAAAACATCACGACTGGACATACGATGCTCAAGCTCAAGCTCCAAAGACTGAATGTTGACGCAGTGAAGGGAACTCCCGTCACCGAGTCTGACCTAATCTGTTGATGGTCTTTGTTATACCGTTGTACCACTAAAGTTATTTTACATGGAGTATAGTAAAACAGTATTATTGTAAATTACATAATAGACTGCTCTGACTGGCATAATAATGACTATAGACGGGATAGACATCAATCTCTGAGGATTTGGTCCATCGCGATTCCGATTCCTGGCGGAAAAGCAACACCCATTGATCCATCGACCGACCATCCGTCGATTGACATCGCGGATGTATCGTTGCATGGCTCGTTCTCAGGTGGATCGCCATCGCTTGCAAGAGCCGGGAAACCAAAACTCCGGCTGTCGCGCCAGCGACCAAAAATACATCACTCCGTTCTCGCAATGGGCGGGTGAGCTGGATGAGCTCCCCTCCCAAGTTTTTTTTTCATGTTTTTTCAACTCCAGGCTGCTCTTCATCTCTCGTTGAACAGATGTTGTTCTGGAGATGGACTCCAACATCGCCCAACAAACATTACCCAGGGTTCCGTTCTCGCATGGTGTCGGTGGACAAGAACATCTCAGCAGGATGTCCTGGGAGGACTTTCGCGTGTTCGTCGCCAAGCAGTCTGGGACGACCATTGACCAACCCTAGATGAGCAATCCTGGAGGCCTGGAGGGTAGGCATGTTCCAAGCGCCGGAAGCTCGGTTCGGTCTCAACCCGACTCCCAGTGTTCTCTTGGTTCTTTCTTTTTCCTTAGAATCATGGTTTAATTGATGCTGTTTTGGCTGCGGAACACTAATTGTAGCAGCTTAACGTCCAGGAGTCAATGATAATTCTATAGGAGTTTAAGTTCTTTTTCCCATAGTGGCTGTGATGTCGCGTCATGGACGAGGTCGCCCCCTTCTACACCTTGAACTCTCCCAGGTTTGGTGGTCGCCGCCCTCTTCCCAGGTTTAACATCTCCTGGAGCGATTCGGAGTCACTCACGCTGGAGCTGGCCACCTTGGGGAAGATGAACATGGTGGGGGGTGCCGCTCACTACACCTTGCCCTCGCACATGTCCTTTTGGTTTCCGAAAGCTGAAGCCGGTGTTTTTTTTCTTGGGGCAAGTCAAACCAAAAAACATCTTTCGCCCCCAAAGGGGGCCCTGGAATCACAGACACCCCCGTCTAAGACCGCCGTGCCCTTGCCTTTCCGTTTCGACCGTGTGGTGACACAAGGACGGTTCCTTCGAGGTGTTTCTTCCGGATTCTGAACTGGATCAGCTGGCTGGGTCAAGTCACTGGGTCAAGTCACTGGGTCAGCTAGCTGGGCATGGCATGTGATCCTTTTTCAGTCTGGGCCTGGTCAGCCAGACTTGGATCAGCCTATAGACTTGGATTAGTTTATGCCGCACAGCTTCTGAACCAATGAGCAGACACTGGTGGAGGAAGCAGTGTTGAATTCTTTTGGAGGTGTCATGCTACCCGTTTCTTCCTCCCGTTTCATCCTGGAAAACATCCCTCCCCCGCTCTCCTTGGCTTAGCCGTCCGTGTTTCCGACCCGCTTAGCCACGACCCATCGGTCGCACCCGGAGAACGAGCCACAGGAAGCGCCGATCCTGGGCCAGGGGACCCGAGAATTGGAGCGCCGAGCGGTTCCAATTCGCAGCAGAATGCAACAGCATGTGACGAGATTGGATTGGTTTGCGCAAACATCATTCAAATAGCCCAAAGGGCTGTGGTTCTTAGCAGAGCGCCCCTTCATTTTTTTGGTGTACCTGGTGGGTGAATCTTCCTTCAGGATGCATGTTTTCCAGAACTTACTGGAATTCTCCCGGTTCCCACTCTTGAGCACAGCGGCTCGCTGCGCTGCACATCAGGTGAAGCCCAGCTCTACTTCCCCAGCTACATGGCACAGTGCGCTCGTAACCAGGCTATGCCTCGCACGACCAGGTATAGCAAATGGTCCGGTAGGCACTTCTAGATAGGATACACAGTAGCAGAAGTATACCCCAGTTGACAGATGCAGAACTGGAAAATGTTGCAGTGGAATTGGACAGTTTGGCTTGGAAGGTATCAAGTTGAAGTCATACACACCTGCCTCAGTCACACATTAGTTCAAACTCGTTGTATATTGGGAATTTGGACTTGTTTACACCTTATACCAACCACACAAGCAATTATGTTCTCACCTTCTCCGCGCTTCTTTCAGCGGAATAGAGTGCCTTATACATTGTTCCAACACCCGAGGATCCATTGATAGATCCACTGCTGAAAGCAAGCAGTATCAGTCAGCAGAAGACAATGAGTAATGCAGAATGCGATCCCTCGGATTGCAACCACCACCATTGATGTTTATAAGTTTTCGCCGAACAACCACTACTGTTTTGACTACTACAAAACCAGGAAGTCTGGGGTCATCAAGCATGTGGCTGACAGTGATTGGGGCCTCCCCACCCGCTTTCCGGCCACCAAAATAGAAGTCGTCCGGGGGATCATCGGCTTTGTCGGGTTCGGTGAAGGCTTAAGGATTCGAGCTTTGGAGAGGAATCTGAGAAGAAGCGAGCTATAGCTTCTTCCACGGAAGAGATACGCCACTGCAGCAACTGCCGGACACCTCAAAGGGTCGACGCGCACAGCGCGGTCGACCCTGTTGGAACGAATCCGAGCAGAAATCATGTCCAATGGGCGAACGCCAGCCGCTGGGGACCGACAGACACAGTCTTGGTCAGTCATCCTCGCCTCCGTCTTCGGCGTTTGGCAGGTACAAGGCCTTGAACCACAGTTTCATCAGTGACCTGGAACAGTCGGATCAG